AGCCTGGGAAGAAAGGGGGGGGTGGGGGTGGGGTATGGAACATGTTTTTAAATTTGTTCTCATTTCTCACTATCCTACTTTGATTTGATTGGCAATAAATGAAAATAATTTCCCCAAGATGAGTCTGTTTTGCCCATGATGGCAATTGCTGAGTGATCTCCCTGTCCTCACCTCAATCCACGAGCCTTTCACTGTATTCTCTCTCTCTCTGTCCAGCCGAGAAAGGGGAGTGATACAGCGGCTTGTTGGGTACCCGGCAGCCAGCCAAGGTCATTCTATCACACACTGGTGATGGACCAAATGGGCCGGTGATTCCTGACCCCCTGACTACTTTGAATTGCATGCCTCCTTCTTCCTTAGATTTTAGACCTGTGCAGTTTCGGTGTGGTTTTGAATCCTCCAGTTAGCAACGATCACATCTCCACGATTCCACTTGTGTCCATAATCACACAGTGTTCCTTGCTGCGCTACAGACTTCCCCACAGATCCTCTGTAGCTGTCTGAGTGATGACTACCCAGCTGAGCCGTAACACAACCATGCCTTAGATCCTTGGTACACTAGTAGCTGAATCCTGGCCAGGGTAGGGGTTTACAGAGATGAAATGGAAAATTACTTGATGAAAATCAGTTATCTTGGACCCTAGAGATTGCAGCAGGCTGTGACCAGCATCTCCCCTGAGTTGGGACATCTCTCAGGCTCAGACTTCTCAAAGTTTGACGATTGTCTGCCCACAAATCTGATGGAAGGCCAGAGTGAAGTTGGACTTCTTCCTGACTCTCAGTTATTCACCCGCTGAGGAAAACTGATGCATTGGGAGTATTTACTAAACTCAAGAAGAGGGAAATTTTCACTTTGAGCCAGCTTCTCTTTTACCCACTCTCTGCTTTCCGATGTGTCTGGGTAGTCACAGTTGTTTTCATGAGTGTAGGGACTTACATATTTTACTGGATCCAAATAATTTTGTCTGTCTGTGTGTTTGTATGTTTTGTATTTGCAAATTGTGCATGTATACATGTACAGATTTAAGGAACCATATCGTAAGTTAGTGTGAATCTTGTCATCTTGGAATCTGTAGTTAAGTCGCCATTTTAATCATAGCATATTTTACTGAATTGCTTTGTAAATCTATAAACTGCTTAATGATTAAGTGTTGCTAGTCAATAATAGATCTTGATTTGCTGCTAAATCATTACCACGTTAATACTTTCATCCACCACACCTTGGTGTTCACAAGATTGTTTCTCACACTTTGTTTTTCCTCACTCCTCACTGACATGCAGCATTTTGCCCTTTTAGAAATATTTTTTCGGGGATGTGCCACCAGTTTTGCCGATTGGCTCATTCCTGCTCTGAGGTGAGTCCGTTGTCAAGCTGGCTGGAGCTGTCTGTGTCTAACATGAGGGCAGCACGAAGGCAGCCCCTGGCCTCTTCTCATGGAGGCCACCCTGCCGAACACCACCTCCCTGCTGAACACCACTTGCATTTCCTACCCTGGCTGTATGACCCAAACCTTTGTTTTCTGTGCTGCAACCAGCTGAGCCTTTCTCACCGTGACGACCTACGACTGTTGGATCACTCTCTGCAAACCACTGAACTATGAGTCATGAACAGGAAACCTCGCATGCAGAGAGATGGTCACCAGAGCATGGATTACAGCTGTTTCCTACTCAGTGTTGCACACTGGCAATACCCTAGAATCACAGAATCACAGAATGGTTGAGGTGGGAAGGGACCTCCAGTGGTCACCTGATCCAACCGCCCTGCTCAAGCAGGGCCACCTACAGCCAGTTGCTCAGGACCAATTCTAGATGGGTTTTGAATATCTCCAGGCATGGAGACTCCACAATGTCTCTGGACAACCTGTACCAGTGCTCCGTCACCCTCACAGTGTTTTACAGTTTCCTGATGTTTGGACAGACCCTCTCATGTTTCAGTTTGTGCCCATTGCCTCTTGTCATCTCACCGCACACCACTGAAAGGAACCTGGTTCTGTCCCCTTTACAACCGACCTTCAGGTATTTATATACATGGGTAAGATCCCACCAAAGCCTTCTCTTCTCCAGGGTAAGCAGTCACAACTCTCAGCCATTCCTCACAGGGGACTTGTTCCAGTCCCTTCATCATCTCCAGGCCACTTTGAGGGACCCTCCCCACTATGTCTATGTGTCTCTTTCACTTGGGGAGCTCGAAACTGCCCACAGTAGAGAGGAAGGATCACCTCCCTCAACCTGCTGGAAACACTCATAGAATCATAGAACAGTTTGTGTTGGAAGGGACACTTAAACATCATCTAGCCCAACCCCCTCTGCAATGAGCAGGGACATCTTCAACTAGATCAGCTTCCTCAGAGCCCCATCCAACATGACCTTGAATGTTTCCAGGAATGGGGCATCTACCACCTCACTGAGCAATTTGTTCCAGTGTTTCACCACGTCATCACAAAAAATTTCTTCCTTATATCTAGTCTAAATCCACCCTCTTTTAATTTAAAACCATTACTGCTTGTCCTTTTGCTACAGGCCCTACTAAAAAGTCTGTCCCCATCTTTCTTATGAGCCCCCTTGAAGTACTGGGAGGCTGCAATAAGGTTTTCCCTGAAGCTTCTTTTCTCCAGGCTGAGCAATGCCAACTCTCTCAGCCTTTCCTCAAGGAGAGGTGTTCCATCCCTCTGATCATCTTTGTGGCCCTCCTCTGGACTCGCCTCAACAGGTCTGTGTCTTTCATGTACTGAGGATCCAGATCAGTATTCCAGGTGGGCTCTCACCAGACCAGAGTAGAAGGGCAGAGTCGCCTCCTTGACCTGCTGGCCACACTTCTTTTAATGCAGTCCAGGATACGGTTGGCTTTCTGGGCTGCAAGTGCACATTGCCAGCTCATGTCCAGTTTTTCATCCACGAGTATTCCCAAGTCCTTCCCCGCAGGGCTGCTCTCAATCTCTTCAGTCCCCAGCCTGTATTAATACTGGGGGTTGCTCTCACCCATGGGCAGGACCTTGCACTTGGCCTTGCTGAACGTCATGAGGCTCACTTCTTGAGCTTGCCCAGGTCCCTCTGAATGGCATCCTGCCCCTCATGTGTGTCAACCGCACCACTCAACTTGCTGTCATCATCAAATTTGCTGAGGGTGCACTCAATCCCACTGTCTTTCTCATAGATATATATATTTAAAGTACTGGTCCCAGTATGGACCCCTGAGGGACACCAGTTGTCACCGATCTCCATCTGGACACTGAGCCATTGACCACCACCCTCTGGATGTGACCATCCAGCCAATTCCTTATCCACCAAATCGTCCACCCATCCAATCCATATCTCTCCATTTTAGAGAGAGGGATGTTGTGAGGGACCCTGTCAAAGGCCTCGTGGAAGTCCAGATAGATGACATCCATAGCTCTGCCGTTGTCC